CCTCTCCACCTTTTAGGAAGGGCAGGAAATCACATGCACCTAAATGCCACAATACACACCAGGCCAATAGCTCATAATAAGTGAAGATAGTTGTGTAATATAAAAGACCCCAAACTTAGAAAGCAAAATTCCACTAAATTAAAACAATACCAGCCCCCAAATGATTAGCTCATACGAAAGATAAAAGCATTAGAACAAATTAAAAGAGGAGAAAAAGCATTTCTTGTCATAAGAAATATAACCACCAGAAAGTAATTGTAGCCTTCAAGACTAAGTAAACAAATCTAATTTCAACATTATATCATCCCTCAATTAAATAGATGGAGAAAATTTGGATAGATGTTTATGAAAAAGGATCACCCGTCCCAAAAAAATTCTTGTCCCCATGTCCCAAACCAATCATGTTCACCAAGTAATGTAAAAAAATATTTTTCTATTTTTTTAATTTTCACATTAACTACATGACAGTTTTTTAATAGACCGTGACATCATTTTTTGGACAGGTGATCTTCATTCCATATTTATAAGTGCATGTTGTACTATTTTCTAATCATAACATGACAGCTGGATAACTTCATTAGATCTTCTAAAAAGGATGGGGAGTTCTTAATTTATTTTTAGTGATATTTCATTATATATGAAAGATGATGTTATTACTTACATAATTCTCGTTCTTAATGATTCAATGTATATTATTAATTTAGCATCTCTTGTCCTTATTTATTACATTTCTTTGTTTATAAATTAAAAAATAAATGATAAAAAACGATCTTCAATATATATATGACCAGTCATATGTACGGTTTATATATATATATGCTATATACGTGTGAGATTATTTATCAATGCTTAGTGTTTAAAATTTATTCTTTAAAGTAGAGTTTCAGCCCGTGTAACATACATGATATTATTCTAGTTATATTGATATTTATAAAATAATTCAAAAAAACATTCCCCAATTTATAAGTGTTGAAAAATGATACGTTTCAAAGTTTAACTAAAATCAAAATGTACCAACAGACTAATCAATTTTAATTAAATATTTATAATTCTTTTTTCACTTTGTTATTGCAAAATAACAATTTTTTTAATTGAAAACATCGTGATTAACTTTCTTTTCAGGCCAGACTAATTTCACTAATTGATAGTAGCATGATTAATTTTATTAAAAAATAACAAATATAACTAATTTTTTAAAAAGTTAGTGTAACACATTAATTTTTCCATATTCCTAATTTATTTGGTATTCATGTTACTAGATTAATTTCCAGAATTAATCAAGTCCACTTTTGGTGAACCTTTCACTAAACCAGAGTTATGAGATTTAAACATCCTTGAGCGAAATTAGCATTCAGGAAACTGAAACTTTTGTCTCAATCTTGCTAACCGAATTTTCGAGAATATATGAAAGAAAAAAATAATAATATGAATTTGATAATAAGGTTTGACTAATTTGTTCATATGTCTACGAGAATATTGAGCAACTACCATTATGTATTAGAAAATAAGAATTGTGTTTGTGGTTATTCTTGTTCTACTAATTAGGTTTACATAACACATAATATATAGCCTTCTATCCAACCCCTATAAACTAGTTTCAAACAAATAATTTGTTTTGTTGTTTTATGGAGAAAATGTCTCATCTAGTAGAATATGATTCATTGCACAACAATCTTCACCTTGGACATAACAACAACAGACTGAACTGATGATCTCCACATAATTTGTCCCTTTACAAGGGTGAAGACAAACTCTATTGTGGAACTTCTATCATCAATGTCTTGCATGTTCCAAATCAACATAACCAACAATTAAAGACTTACTTTGTTGGCTCTCAAACATGATACTGAGACTTGTAGTATTTTCAAATATCTGAAAATTCATTTGAGTGTTTCCTAATGTTGATTTCCCAATTTCGACATGTACTTGCACACTTGACTAACTATTTGTGACAAGCCTGCTCAAGTGTAAAACATAGCCAACATCAAGAAACCTACTGGATTGGATATGGAACCTTTGGCATGGACTTATTCTCTTCATCTGTCTTTTGATACTGATATAGGGAAAGCATGGTGTGATTTGTCTACGGAGTTCTCACTACTTTAGCATTGTTCGTATCAACCCTCTCTAAGATCTTTTCAAAATAGTTTTGTCGGGAGAGCCATAATTTTCTAGCTCTCATGTACCTCTGAATTTTCATCCCAAGAATCTTCTTAGCATCCCCTAAATCTTTAATGTCAAACTCCTTGTCCAATATGACTTCTCACATAAATACAATAATCATACTCATATCACTTAACACTTATAACCAAACTTCAACTTAAAAGTGTCAAACCGCGTGTACCACTTCCTCGTAGACTTCTTCGACCAATATAGGCACTGTTCACCAAACTTTTAAGTATCTTGTAACTTTTTTAGTCTCTCAAAAACCTATTAGAGACGTTCGATAAACAAAAAAATGAAGATAACTTGTAGCTTTTAAAAAAATAGCTTGTATCATTGGAAAGCTACTTTTCATAAAGCTATTTTAAGTAGCGTTTAGATAGTGAAAGTAGATTTCAATAATTCACTTTCCAATTTTGGCTTTCAATATTTTAACAAATTACATTATGTTCCCTCAATTAAAAAGAACCCTATTAACCTTATATGCGACTCCTACCTTTCCCCACTTTACGTTTCCTTCACAAAGAAAAAACCAGCAGTCCCCCTCCATTCATGTCACTTCAGGTATGTTACACAATTTATGGGATAAAGAACCCTATTGATTATGTATTTTTTTTTTGCTTTATTTTTCTAACATGGTTACATGTGGCAGGGTTAGAGACTATCCTATTGTTTGATTATTTTAAATTACCTATGTATTTAATTAATTCAATTAATAAATAACAAAATAAATAATGAATGTTTTTTTAATCATTTTTAAAATTTCAACTAGCTACCAAGCTCATTTTGCCGAACAACTCTAATTTGATAAGTTACATTCATAACTACAACATGATAGCTAAGTATAAAGTCAAAACTACAAGCTCACAACTATCATACTTCTTTTTCCTAATTGCAACAATACCCATAAAATCGTGGTAATTTTTATGTAGATCTACCATTGAAAGACCCAAAAACGCATAACTTAATAATATTACTTTAATTTTCTTTATTTAATTTCAGTTACATTTCACCCTCGACCCAAATATAACCAAAGCTCTGTCTTATTTTCATCTTTTTTATCAGCCAAAAGAACATTATTATGCATTATTATTTTCTGTTATTCATTTAAGCTTTCTTTTAAAATATTTGTCATGGCCACGGTCTCTCAATTTCTGTATTTTTAGTTTTTGACAAAAATGTATTCTACAACAAATTTCTATATTCAAATATTTTAAGAAAAAGGAGATAATTGATTCTCTCAAGTCTCAATCAGAAAAATATGCTCGGATTAGCTTAGCAAAGAGGTAGGTTATAATCATGTATATATGCTTACCGGATATACTGATTTTTAATAAATGCAAGGGTACAATGGAATGGAATCTATTTTAATTTCCCTCAAAAGCAGGAAGATAAAGTTGGCATCTGGTTATTAATTATTAATTATATACTTACTTTTATAAAATAAGTTTCTTATTGGTGAAACTTTTATAAAATAAGTTAAATTAAAAAAACAAAGTTGAATGGAATAAATCTGGAAAGTGGTTGCTCGTTTTACAACAAAGCTCTTCTATTTTCTAGACGCAATTGGAGCAGTTATTAAACACTTGCTTACATGGGTTACTTTGGCACATGAATCTTTTAGGATAAGGTTATAATATTGGAAAGGTTGACAATAGTTTGAAAAATGTGTCTGCTTCCTATACTACTCATACTCCTTTCCGGTAATGAAGGAAATAATCTTATTTTTAAGTGTATTTTGAGGGATAAAAATGTAATATGAGTATAAGTTAAAGGATATAAATGTCATTATTTTTTAATTTTTACATGTATTTCACTACAACAGACTTTGTATTTAGTGGAAGTTTTTTTTTGCGATTAGTGGAGGTTTTTAACCTCCACAATATAAATAGCGGAGGTTTCAGAAACCTCCACATTTATGACTGCTAGAAGCGTTTAGTGGAGGTTTTAGAGAACCTCTGGTATTGATAAATTTAGTGGTTTATTAGTGGAGGTTTTTAACCTCCGCTATTTGAGGAAATTTTTAACATCCGCAATTTGTGAATGTTTTTAACCTCCACTATTTGATGTTTTTAACCTCCGCTATTTGATGAGGTTTTTAACCTTCGCTACTTGAGGAGGTTTTTAACCTCCACTAGTTGAGAAGATTTTTGCGTCATTTATCGTGGAGGTTGTAAAACTCCACAATATGAGGATGTTTTTGTAATGTTTGTCATGGAGGCTTTAAACATCCACTAATTGAGAATGTTAATTATGAATATTTTTAACATCCACTACTCCAAATAACATATAGAGACCTATTGGAAGATAACTATTATAGGTTTCTATATGATTTTAACCTCGGGTTAATTTCATAATTTTCACAATTTTAATCTTATTAATTTATAATTATTATTTAAATATTCAATACTAAATACAAATGTTCTTAACAATAATAAAATTTCATTGCAAATAACTAAGGTCGTGTAAAAGAGTTGAAAGACTTATAATTTATCATTTGTTAAAAATCCAAGTACACTATAAAATCTAAAAAACTAAAAGTAGTCTCATATGACACTTTAAAAACAAAATACATAACAAATATCCTATATGTTGCTGGCTTTAGATGATCCTCTTGCACCCAAAGGTATACCAGACATACTTGCATCATCATTTGCCTGAAATAATAGAATAAAATATAATATCATTAACTATTAAATATAGTTTAACTATTTATCTAGACCATCACTATTCATATATTCATATTTTTGTTCTAGCTAAGCTTATTATCAATAAATAAATAGCTAGGCAATACCTTATCAAATTGGAGGTGTAGTACAACAATTTTAAGAGTGAGAGGGAGAAATAAAAAAGAACTATATCTAGACAAGTAAAACCAACTAGCCACTGAAGGTAGTAAAGCACAAAGGGAGCGTATTACGAACCAAACCTCAAAAGGAAGCAAAACTCAAGTATGATCGCGCTCATTGCGATAGCCATACTTTCCTAAAAAGTTCTAGAAATCACCTGCATACTATTCCAACAACACTATAACCACCTGCATACTAACCCTGTGAAGGTATGTATATTGTTAATCTTGAAAGCTCAAACATAATTACCATCATTGAAACAAAGAAAATACCATGATTACCTCATACCCTCGTAAATTAGATCACCCTCTTTTAATATTTAGACAAATCTCAAATATGATTTTGTTATTTTCCAAAACATGATTACCTCAGGTGCCATATATCCAAGTGTTCGAGTTTCACCAGTCATGTCACTTGGATTCATAGCTTCAACACGAGCAACTCCAAAATTAGCTATTTTCATATTCTGATTACCCTCTAGGAGCATATTATGTCTTCACATCACGATGAACATTCTCCCCTGTATGTAAATAGCTAAGACTGCATATTAGGGAAAACAAATATTTGATTTCAATAAAGAGTTAATAGTTTATATATTTTGAAATGATAGACAAAGGAAATAGGATGCAGCCCTTGAAGAGGTCCAAAGCTATCTGAATCACAATTTTATAAGCAAGTTTCTTCTGCATATATAAGTTATCTGAATTAATATTTATGAGTGAGTTTTTATAAGGTAGAGGGAGCTTTTTCTTAAGGAAATGTGGAGTTATTGCAAGAGGTTCATAAATCAGAAAGAAATGTCCAAAAGGAAAACAAAAAAGCAGAAGAAATGACAGGGTGATATAAGAATAACTCTAACTTTAAAGTGGTATGGATAATAACTCGACATGCCCGATGTGGTATGTATAATAACTCGACATGCCCGATGTGGTATTGGGATAACTCGACCTGCCCAATGTGGTATGGATAATAACTCGACCTGCCCGATGTGGTATGGATAATAACTCGACCTGCCCGATGTGGTATGGATAATAACTCGACCTACCCGATGTGGTATGGGGATAACTCGACCTGCCCGATGTGGTATGGATAATAACTCAACCTGCCCGATGTGGTGTGGGGATAACTTGACCTGCCCGATGTGGTATGGGGATAACTCGACCCGCCCGATATGGTATGGATAATAACTCGACCTGCCCAATGTGGTATGGATAATAAATCGACCTGCCCAATGTGGTATGTATAAAAACTCGACCTGCCCAATGTGGTATGGATAATAACTCGACCTGCTCGATGTGGTATGGGGATAACTCGACCTGCCCGATGTGGTATGGATAATAACTCGACCTGCCCGATGTGGTATGGATAATAACTCAACCCGCCCGATGTGGTATGGGGATAACTCGACCTGCCCGATATGGTATGGATAATAACTTGACCTGCCCGATGTGGTATGGATAATAACTTGACCTGCCCGATGTGGTATGGATAATAACTCGACCTGCCCGATGTGGTATGGGGATAACTCGACCTGCCCGATGTGGTATGGATAATAACTCGACCTGCCCGATGTGGTATGGATAATAACTCGACCTGCCCGATGTGGTATAGGGATAACTCGACCTGCCCGATGTGGTATGGATAATAACTCGACCTGCCCGATGTGGTATGGATAATAACTCGACCTGCCCGATGTGGTATGGATAATAACTCGACCTGCCTGATGTGGTATGGGGATAACTCGACCTGTCCGATGTGGTATGGGAAATGAAATCGATGAATACGATTAAAGGAAATATGAAGGATGAGAATGAGGATGTGAATGATAAAAGTAATATTCATGTTAGAGAATATATATTATGAGATATATATACTATAGGGTGAATATGAAGGATGACAATGAGGATGTGGATGATCAAAGTAATATTCATGCCATAGGATATATATTATGGGATATATATACTATAGGGTGAATATGAATGATGAGAAATGAGAATGTCAGAATGAAAGTAATATGCATGCTATAGGATATATATTATGGGATATATACACTATAGGGTGAATACGAAGGATGAAAATGGAAGATGTTGAGAATGAAAGTAATACACATGCTATAGGATATATATTATGGGATATATGTTCTATAGGGTGGATATGAATATTGAGAAGGACGATGCATCGAAATAACGTAATATGCATGCTATAGAATATATATTATGGGATATATATACTATAGGATGAATATGAGTAACATGGAAATTAAAGAAAGAAGATATGAATGTTTACAATTACGTATGTGTGGTTATAAATTATATTAAAGCTTAAATCGTATTTGAAATGTGGATTATCATGTAATGTTAGTTTTTCAAGAGGTAGTGGTTTATTATTGAAACCCTACCCGAAGAGGTAGTGATTTATGGTTGATACCCTACCCGAAGAGGTTGCGAAATATTGTTGTTTTCCTACACGGAGTGGTAGTTGATTATTGTGGTTATCCTACCCGGAGTGGTACTGGAGTATTGTGGTTATACTACTTGGAGTGGTAGTGGATTATTGTGGCGGTCCTGCCCGATGTGGTACGGGGATAACTCGACCTGCCCGATGTGGTATGGATAATAACTCGACCTGCCCGATGTGGTATGGATAATAACTCGACCTGCCCGATGTGGTATGGATAATAACTCGACCTGCCCGATGTGGTATGGATAATAACTCGACCTGTCCGATGTGGTATGGGGATACCTCGACCTGCCCGATGTGGTATGGATAATAACTCGACCTGCTCGATGTGGTATGGATAATAACTCAACCTTCCCGATGTGGTATGGGGATAACTCGACCTTCCCGATGTGGTATGGATAATAACTCGACCTGCCCTATGTGGTATGGATAATAACTCGACCTGCCCGATGAGGTATGGATAATAACTCGACCTGTCTGATGTAGTATGGGGATAACTCGACCTGCCCAATGTGGTATGGATAATAACTCGACCTGCCCGATGTGTTATGGATAATAACTCGACCTGCCCGTTGTGGTATGGATAATAACTCGACCTGCCCGATGTGGTATGGGGATAACTCGACCTGCCCGATGTGGTATGGATAATAACTCGACCTGCCCGATGTGGTATGGATAATAACTCAACCTGCCCGATGTGGTATGGGGATAACTCGACCTGCCCGATGTGGTATGGATAATAACTCGACCTGCCCGATGTGGTATGGATAATAACTCGACGTGCCCGATGTGGTATGGGGATAACTCGACCTGCCCGATGTGGTATGGATAATAACTCGACCTGCCCAATGTGGTATGGATAATAACTCGACCTGCCCGATGTGGTATGGGGATAACTTGACCTGCCCGATGTGGTATGGATAATAACTCGACCTGCCCGATGTGGTATGGATAATAACTCGACCTGATCGATGTGGTATGGATAATAACTCGACCTGCCTGATGTGGTATGGGGGTAACTCGACCTGCCTGATGTGGTATTGGAAATGAAATCGATGAATACGATTAAAGGAAATATGAAGGATGAGAATGAGGATGTGAATGGTAAAAGTAATATTCATGTTATAGAATATATATTATGGGATATATATATTATAGGGTGAATATAAAGGATGACAATGAGGATGTGGATAATCAAAGTAATATTCATGCCATAGGATATATATTATGGGATATATATACTATAGGGTGAATATGAATGATGAGAAATGAGAATGTCAGAATGAAAGTAATATGCATGCTATAGGATATATATTATGAGATATATACACTATAGGGTGAATACGAAGGATGAAAATGGAAGATGTTGAGAATGAAAGTAATATACATGCTATAGGATATATATTATGGGATATATGTTCTATAGGGTGGACATGAATAATGGGAAGGACGATGCTTAGAAATAACGTAATGTGAATGCTATAGAATATATATTATGGGATATATATACTATAGGATGAATATGAGTAACGTGGAAATTAAAGGAAGAAGATATGAATGTTTACAATTACGTATGTGTGGTTATAAATTATATTAAAGCTTAAATCGTATTTGAAATGTGGATTATCATGTAATGTTATTTTTGAATTAATGACTTACTCCCTTGTTTTGTGTGTTGTTTATGATAATCCCATTGTACGTAAATGAAGGATTTGAGGAGGAAGCTCACTTTGGAAGCTTATGTGTTTATTATATTGATTGTCTTTATAGCTGCTTGACATTGTAGTTGATTTGATAACATTTTGGAATGAATGTAAATATGAATAGGACAATAATGAGTTATGTAGATATGGAGATTATACTCTTAGAAACCCATACTGGTCGTATGTAGTAATTACTAAATGCATGAATTATGTTTTTCCGCAACATGAATTGCATGATAACGTAATAGGTTAAAAGATTAGTGTCAATGAATTATTCATGAAGGTTTTTCAGTAAAATAATGAATGTATGTAAGGAAAGATTTTAAATAAACAAAAAAAAATTTCAAGGGTAGAATTTGGGTCCTTACAATATGGTATTAGAGCATAGTTAATTCTGCGGCCTAGGGTATGACCTTACTTGCTTCTTTGTAACATGTTTATGATTTAACTAGTTGAGATTGTGTGAATTGAATGTTTAAAGCATGTAGAATTGGTATAGTGATATGTAATGTGCTATGGGACTATGTGATAACCTGACTTGTGTGAACTAAATTGGTATACTAACTAAATTGGTATGTGATAACGAGTCAGAAAGTTCCAGATGATTTGTCTGTTCAGATGGTGGCTACACTGCAACAGATGAACGAGAACTTGCGTAGTCTGAATCAGAACCCCGCACCGAGTCCGAGTTCGCAAAACCTAGTCCCACCCGGACCGACGGAGTACCGAGGTCTAGATGAGTTTTGCAAAAGGAACCCCAGTCAGTTCCACGGGGGATTTACTCCTGATGCTGTCCTTGAGTGGATTCAGGGAATGGAGCGGATTTTCGGGGCCATGAAATGTTCGGAGGCTTTGAAATTGGCCTATGCCACTTACATGCTAGTGACGGAGGCCGAGAATTGGTGGGAGTTCACAAGACACCAAATGGAGACGGATGGACAATTGATTTCCTAGAGTACTTTCAAGGTAAAATTCCTTCACAAATACTTCCTTGCTGATCTGAAAATGAAGAAGGAAATGAAGTTCTTGAAGTTGGAATAGGGAAACATGTCGGTTGGGGAATATGCGGCTAAATTCGAATCGGGTTTAAGACCCAAGCTGAAAAGGATGTTCAGACATCAGGAGATTGTTGACTTTGCTACTTTGGTCAACAAGTGCAGGATGTACGAGGATGATCTGAAGGCGGATGAGTTGGCGACCCCCGAAACAAATTTCCCCCGGGACTATGGACCCCAACGCAACCATAGGCAAGGAAGGGGTAAGGAGAGAGTGGGAGATGACCAGAAACCTTATGCGGCGATCACTGTTCATCGTGACCGAAATTTCCAAAGGTCTAGCCCACTTACAATTCCTACCGAATGGGTTTCTACTCCCATGTGCCACAAGTGCAGTAAACTTCATTATGGAAGTACGTGCCCGGGAAAAGGGAATGGATGTTTCTACTACAAGGAGTTTAGGCACATTAAAAGGTTTTGTCCCAAGCTGAGGAAGACTTAATGTCATTCATGCTGAGGAGGCAAGGGACCACGGTTGAAAGGTTACCCCTGTAACGACATCGGAGACTTAATGTCATTCATGCTGAGGAGGCAAGGGACCACGGTCGAAAGGTTACCCCTGTAACGACCCGA